TCGGGCTGGTCTGTCTGGAAGTTGAGCAGGAGCCAGGTCAGGCCGTACACAGTGATGTTGGCCATGACGGTGAAGGCATACCTGAGTGGGAAGGGAACCTCAGGGGGATGTGGAGGGACAAGCATGGGGACAGAACAGTGGGACATCTCAGCCCATTGCTGTGCTACAGCCTCTGCACCCCGGTGTCGTGGCTGAGGGGACACCTCCAAGGGCATGATGCACCTGCCCAGGCATCAGCCTTACTGGTGCCACTCCCAGCATGCCCAGTCCAACCCTCAGGGCACGACTGGGAGGAAACCAAGATCCCTCTGGGTCAGCCTGTCACCTTCCAGGCACAGCTCACCTCTGCCCCAAGGATGTCATGAGCTACCTGAGCTGGTGCCCCCAGAGCTGGACCCCAGGGTTATCCCAGTGCTGCCCCACATCCTCCCTGTTCACCCTGTGGGACAAACAGCCCATCCCACATCCTGATCCTGCCTGAGGAGTGGTTCCATGCAGGGAGCCAGATGCATTGCCCACCTGGCCCTGTGGACATCCCATCTCTGGGTCAGCCCCCACAGCCATGCCCAGCTCTCCCCAAGGGCACCCAGGGGGGCACAGTCCCTGCCCTGTGAGCACCAGTCCCAAAGGAGAAGTGTCCCATGGGCTGTGTCACCAACATCCCTGGCATCAAGACAGTCCCTCCTGACACCAAAGGGTTTGAGCCACCAACCAAGGACACCAGTGTCCCTTGGCACATCCCACAGGACCCCCTCGGGGCCCAGCCCTGGTCCTGCCATGCTGAGGACTCTGATGTGCCACAGCACCCAGGGACCTCCTGTCACACAGCAGTGGGACCTGGGGTGGGCAGGGCGGCTCCCCCAGACCCAGGAGACCCCCAGGTGTGTCTGTGCTCACCTGAAAGCCGTGAGCTCCACCTTCTCATGGTCACTGCTCACCAGCTCGGGGATGAGGGCCAGGTGGGACACCTGCGTGGCTGCCCAGCCAAACTGGAAGATGACGATGAAGGGGAGGTAGTAGATGAAGGCTGCCCACTGTGGAGTGCCCTCCCTGCAGGCCAGGCAGGGGCTGAACACGAAGGGGAAGGACACGAGGACGCAGGTGGTGCCTGAGGAGAGAGTGGAACAGTGAGAGGCTGCACATCCAAGACATGGTCAGAGTGCCACTGTCCCATCCCAGGACAGGTTCCACCCCAGAGCTGGGGAGGGAGGTGGGCCCCTTTCCCCAGCCAGGTGACACAGGTAGAGCCTCAGACACCCCCTGAATCCTGCACAAGGAATGTTTTCCCCCTGTCACACCCAGCACGGACAGTCACTCCCCAGTCAAGGTCCCTCCCCAGCACAGCACCGCTCTGTCCCCTCAGAACACCAGGACAGCCCCTCACTGTCACACCCACAGCCACCAAGAGTGTCCCAGGTGCAGATAACCAGCCCAGGGACACCCCTCCCTGCTGCCTGCCCCTGGTGATACAGCCCCTGAGGGCCAGGAGGGCTCCGGGTGTCCCACGGGCACAGGCAGCCCGGCTGTCCCCACGTCCCCTCTCCCCTGGGGCTGGCACAGGGAGCCACACTCACGGATGTCACCCACAGTGTGACGGGTGACACTGAGCCACGGGGGCTCTGAGCCATGGGAAGGCCCTGCTGAGTCAGGGACAGCAGAGCCAGGCTCCTCCTCCTGCTGCAGCGGGACAGGGACGCTGCGTGGGGACGCTGCCTGTGGGGACCCTGAGTGGGGCAGGCAGGTGGCCTGGCCTCTCCCTCCCCTGCCCAAAGTTATGGAGCTGATCTGCCAAGTGGCTTCATGGCCCCTCTGACCCTGATGCAGAGCCAGCTCCATGCCCTGTCCCATGTGTCACCATGCCCTGTCCCATGTGTCCCTAGCCACACTGGGTGCTGCTGAAGGGCCATGGGAACCTGTTCCTACAGCTGAGGGGAACCTGCAGCCACTTTGCCAGGTCCCCAAGGTCCCCTCTCCAAGGGACTTTGTAAGACCCTCCTCTTTCTCACGAGTGATGCCTCTTCCTCTTATCCACAAAGGGCAGTTCCTCCTCCTCACTCCCACACAGCAATGCAGGGCCAGGGCAAAGAGGTTCTCCCTGTGCCAAGGGCAGCAGCAGCAATCCCAGCCCAGCTCCATCCACCCCAGCAGGGCCCGGGTGGGTGCTCACAGCCAGCTTTGGTGCTCCAGGAGCTCCCAAAGGATGGGGGACTCAGGTACACGTGGTGCCTCTGCCCCAGACAAGCCACAGGCACAGGAAGGTCCAAGAAGGTTCAAACCAGCCCAGCCCTTGGATGGGGCTGTTGGTTTTAACTGAGCTCAGCTGGGAGATGGGGGGGTTCCAGGGCCCTGCAGGGTCAGGCTCTGCAGCCCCCCGAGGGCTGTGCAGGCCATGCCCGTGCTCTCAGAGGAGCACTGGGGCAGGAGCTGTGGGTCCTCAGCTGCTGCAGCTTCCACG